CCACTGAAGGGACTGGGGACCGTGGTGGTAGGCTGAGCTCCTTGTGGCTTTCAGTCTGCTTCCCCCTCCTTCCCTAATTTTGACAGTGTTTGAATGGACCACAGGAACAGGGTGATCTGGAACTTTTTCTAGTATTACTGAAACACAGTTGAGAAAGCCATTCATGGTCTCTGTTAAAATACCACTTACTAAAGCAACAAGTATGTGTTTGAGAGCTGTTGACAATCAGGGTTAGAACGTACTCATCACAAAAGGAGAAGTATGGAGGTGGCTGACCTGGCTTTCTTGTTTCTGAATTACCTGGGTGAAGAATGACGATGCGGTAGGTTATTATGGTTGTAGATCACAGTGGTTTTTACCTCTGCCAAGGCCTTCTCAGGTCAGCTTAGAGGCCCCACTCATGTTGTGGTTGGTTTTTCTGTTTTTTTTTTTTTTGTCTATTTTGAGACAGGGTCTCGCTGTGCAGTTCAGGCTGGCCTTGAGCTCACTTTGTAGCCCAGGCTGGTCTTGAACTCGCAACCTTCCTCCTGCCTCAGCCTCCCAAGTGTTAGGATTACAGGCATGTGCCACCACACCTGGCTTGTGGTTGTGATAGTGTGGCACTGAGACTGGGGAACAACAAGCAGCAGCAACACCCAGTAGCCAGTAGTTCCACCGCAAGTTAATCACTTAACGGAGATTTGGGGGAAGAAAGGCTCAGCTCTGTGGAGCACTGGCAGTACTTCTCCATTCAGAGGGTGAGCGAACAGCTGTCCCTGCCTGGCTCTGGCTGATCTTTGAACAGTGAAAAGGGGCCGGCAAACAGGCAAATAAGAGAATGTGAACTGAGGACTCTGATAGGTGCCCCTTAGTAGAGTGCTACTCTCTGCACCTTGAGGGCCGCCTCCCCTGCCCAGTCCAGCTGACCCAAGAGTCTGGCCTGAGAAAAAGAGGCCCAGGCTGGCCCCTGAAGGGTGGGATCACAGGCCAGGGGAGGGGACACTTCAGGGACCTACTACGGTAGTAGAACTGGAAGCCTTGTGGTTTATTCTACCACTTTCCACTTGCAGCTTGATTTCAAGGCTTCTAGAGCTTCTATAGCTTTGGATATCTTTGAGGTAAAAATAAGCTCACTTGGTAATATGTTTCAATGACAGTGCCATTGCCACAATTCTGTGCCAGATCTAAGTTAGTCATTCTAAGGCCTACAACTTTTTTTCTGTCTTTTTGAGACAGGGTCTCACTGCTGTTCATGCTGGCCTTGAGCTCACTTTGTAGCCCAAGCTGGTAATGAACTTGCAGTGATCCTCCTGCCTCAACCTCCCGAGTGCTGGGATTACAGGTATGTGCCATCACACCCGGCAGGCCTACAGCATTTGTGCCAAATGCTGAACAGTTTTGAAACTACTAAGCTGAAAGGAAGGAGTGTGAGTGGTCGTCAGTGATTCTAGTCTCCTGTGAGCATGATGCCATGTGTGGTTTGAGCCAAGATACAGAACCTCTGTATCTCCAGTTTGTCCTTTTAGAAAATAGATCTATTAAAAAACATCCTTTGCTTTCGTCTTTGTAAAGTAGTTTTGGGAGTAACTCTCAACATCCGGGAAAGCACTTGTACCCTTTTGTAAGAAAGACATGGAGGGATCTGCCTGAGGCATGTGGTGTGGTTGGAGCACATTCCCTGGTGAGACTCCGGTGTCCACTGTGAGGCCCTTAGCATAGGACCCCAGGGCTGTGGGGCAGTACGCGTTCTGAAGACAGTGTGAGTGTAATGTACACACAAGACGTTCCCTGCCAGATGAGTTCTGTGCGCAGGTTCGGCAGAGGGGTGAGGGCGTGCTGGGGGTTCCAGGGCTGTGGGGCGGCAGGCGTCCTTGTGCTCATTCCAGGGTAACTTTCTGTGTAGGTTCACCAGAGGTTTTTGTACTAGAACATATGCCTTCAAAAAATATATGTTTGTTTATTTATTTATTTAGTTTATCCTCCCAGTACCAGGAATCGAACTCACAACCCAGCGCTTGCCAGGCAGGCGCTGTGCCACTGAACTAAATCCCCAGCCCCAAAAATGTTTATTTATTGTCCATATTATTCAGAAGAATTTAAGGCAGAATAGAGATGACCTGGGTGCTGGTGACTGATTCTCTGGCACCGTCTCTGACCTGATTCCTGTGCCATGTGCTGCATCTCCAGGAGGCCCACCCGACTCCTCAGACCTCTGCCTGCCCTCTGATGTTCGGGTTGGCAGGGAGGCTGCTGTGACCTCGCTGGAGGTCGTGGTCAAGCAGTCATGCACAGCTGTCCTCTGCTCGGGCAGACCAGGGTGACTTTGGAGGGCAGCACTGGGGTGCTAGGTTTGCTCTCCCCAGGTGGGAAGGAATCATGCATGGAAAATCCTTAAAAAGAGGGGATGAGCCCATGTTCCCTGGACTCTGTTCTCCTTCCCATTTGGTTGCCTTTGCTGCCAGCCCTTCACTGTGACAGCCGGAACCCCTGGGCCTTTCTCAGGGTGTCTCCTAGGAAAGAGGAGTGGGAAGGGAAAAAGAAAGGAGCTCAGCTTCTGCCCAAGCTGGGGAGCAAGGACAGAGCCAATAATGGTGGTTTAGGCAAAGAACAAGGAAGTGATTAAAGCCACAGTGGTTGTGTGAAAGCTCTGGCCTGGCCCTGAGTGCCTTCTACAGCACTGGGGTCCACAGGGGACCAGGAGAGGAGAAGGTCCTCCATGCTGCCCAGCAGCTGGCGGGCAGGGGAGTCTCAGATGTGGTTTTTCCATTTCTCTAATATTTATGTTCAGGTATTGGATGGCAAGATACCTTTGAGTCTACTTTCCCCCTCAATTGAAGCCAAAGGGCCATTGGGTTAGTGCCTTAGAGGGGTCCATGAGAATTCCTAGTTGAAGACTACTCAATTATTAATTCTGTAAAAGAGTTTCATGTGTTAACTCTCCCTGGCTAAGGCTCTTCTATTCTTCCCAGAATAAATTAGGTGTTTTTGTCTGCAACTATTTTACCTAACATCTTAGCTGAAAGGGGCTCTAAAATGAAGATACTAGAGTAAGTCAGTAATGAAAAAATTAGTCTATTAAACATATACCATACATGGACAGTAAGTTAGACAGATAATACATATTATTAAGAAATGCTATAGAAATTCTGCAAAATAAGTATGGTAATGATGGCTACTTCACTGAGAGCTTATACTGTATGTGTCTGGCTCTGTTCTAAATATTTCACCTGAGGTACTTTTTTCTCCACAACTCAGTGAAAGAAGTTGTTCCTTCATGCCATTTCATAGATAAGAGGACATCATAGAGCGAGCTGGTCAGTGGTCAGAGCCCGCACAAACTCCCGAGTCCTGCTCCTAGCTAGTGTATACCCAGTTTCTTATTTTCACTTTACTGTGGAAAACTATTGTGAGGCTGAGTTTGCTTGGCCAGCACCATTCAGGACATAATGACACAACCTCAATCAGACTTCAAGTCTAGAATTACATTTAATGTATGAAAAGCCAAGAATTCTAAATCTGATGAGAAAAGTAATATATACAGGGAGATGCTCATGCATAGAATACCATATAACTGTGTAAGTTAGTTTTGCATTACTATAATGAAATACTCAAGGTAGACTAACTTTATAAAGAAAAGAGATGATTTAGCACATAGTTCTGGAGACTAGAAGTGCAAGATCAGGCAGGCCTATTGGTGTGGCCGCAGGTGAGGACCCTCTTGGGTGCATCATCACCTGGAGGATTGCACCACAGCAGGAGTGAGTGTGAGAGCAAGAATCGCATCTCTAAACAGACAGCCAGAGAGGGCCTCAGGTCAGAATCACTGGTGTGCCACTAGCTTCCAGGACTGCTTTAATTACTTCCAAGGGCAGGGCTCTTAGTGGCCTCGGTTCCAGCAGGCCCTTTCTGTCAAGGGTCCTACCACCATGCCAAAGACCACTCCCCAACACGTGAATCTGGGGACACGCTCAAGCTATGTCCCAACCACAGTGCTAAAGTAAACAGGAAAATTTAGCTTAGAAATGGAAGCTCCCTGTTGACCTCCTGGTCATCTCCCCAACTCCCTAAAATAAAAAGAGATCTTTTCTTTGACTTAGGTTTTAAGAAAGAGAGCTCTTTGACTTCCATTCTGGGTTCCAGGAAATAGGAGGCCAGACGGACGGGTTTATTCCTAACAGCTGTTCAGTAATCTCTTCCCTGCCCAGGCAAGGCATATGCAGAGGGGCGGCCTCACCAGTTGGATCTCAGAGGCTTAGAAAATCCTTGAAGACAGAAATTGAAAACATACATTGTACTTGGCAAACTGAGAAAACCCACTTCAAAGCCTGAGGCAGTGGACAGTCTGATAACGAGGAGGCCTGAGAAGTGTTTGGAAATTTGGTTCCTAGGGCTCTCCTGAGAAGTATGCTGTTCCTATGGCGGAACACATTGGCGATGTGGGGCTTAAGATTTTTCTCTGGCTCCCCAGGAGTGTGGAGGAAGGACATACGGGAATGGCGCTAGGGGCTGGGTGGGAGGGGGATTGAAGTGGACACAAAAGGCTGCTTCCCGGCACGGTGGAATCTGAACAATCTGAAATAGCTCAAACTCAAGAGTTGGCCTGAGTTTCTGAGCTGCCACCCACGGGCTACAGCAGGGACTGCGACCCTGGGAACCACTGCCCGAAGTGAAGTGAGCAAGACAGCGTGACTTGGTTTCAGGGCAGCACTTTGAGTGTTTGTTTCAGTGAGTCTGATTTTCACTTAATTATCAACACTGAATTAGAGGAGCGTTTACCTTTGTAATAGTTAATGTGTCTTTCTCTTTGCTTAGAAAATCGATTTCTGTGACTGGAAAGTAGACTTTGTTGCCTCACACCATAACACAGGCAGGAAAGACAGAAGACCCTCAGTGGTGGGCTTTCCCTCTTGGGACCCCGAGCCTAGCCTGCTTTCTTGTGTCCCCGTGTCCGTCTCCATGTGCTTTTGCGTTAGATTGAACATGACCGTCACGCTCAGCTTCTTATGTTCTGTCATGCACAGAGACGTGTGTGCGGGCCCGGGCCATGCGAGTCCTGGAGACCCCGGCGCAGAGCACCTCACCCCGGGCCCCCAGCTCAGGAAAGCATCGTGGTCAGGAGGAGTGAGACTTCGGCTGAAGCACAGGTAAGAGGCACAGAGGGCAGGACTGACCAGTCCCCCGAAGAGTTGAATGCTCAAGAGGGAACTGGGGTGGGTGGTGTGGGCGGGCAGAGGGAGGAGGTCAGGCTCAGATTTCAAAAGGGAGATGATCTTGATGACCGCTTGCATTAGCATTCTGAAGAACTCTAAAGTTCCTGGGAGGTGATCTGGGGGGTCCCTCAAATCATTTGATTCAAGCATTGTTTGAAAACTACACTCATAATTATTTTAAAACCTGTAATACATTTAAAGTAGTATTCCGAAATTTAAAATTTTTTTTGGTTTTTTGAGACAGGGTCTTGCTATGTAGCCCAGACAGGCTTTGAACTCACGGTGATCCTCCTGCCTCAGCCTTCCGAGTGCTGGGGTTACAGGTGTGCTGCACTATACCTGGCCCCTCCAAAGTTTTATACTTTGGAAGTGGTCAGGACAAATGTACAGCAAGATTAACTTACCTTTCAACTAATCTTCATGTAAAACTTCTCTTCTTGTCTCTGAGGAACATCCTGAGGTGTCATTGTTAGCACAGCAGATTTTCAGCGATTCCCCTGTGTGTGCCAGGTTGCGAACCCGAGTGAAGCCAAGTGCCTCTGTGTTGGAGGGTGCTGCAGTGTCACATTGGTGCCATGAGGCCATATGCAGAACATTCACCTAGGAGGTGCTGGGTCAGAGTCGGGGAGCTGAGACCAGGCTCACAGCCCCCACACTGTGTGGCTTTGGTCTCGGCCGTGCCACACCCACTTCACAGGACAACTGCGGGACTCCAGCGAGATAACCTCTTCAGAGGCAGCACGTAGCCCACTCGCGGAGAAGGAAGTGTTAGTGGTGGTCTAATGGTGCTGGGGTATGCTGCCTTCCGTCACACTAATAAAATACTCAAGATAGTTAATTTACACTTTAAAACGAAATCTTCCTTGGCTCATGGGTTTGCAGGTTCCACTCCAAGATCAGGCAGATCTGTGCTTGTTAGGACTTGGGGGTTGCTGGGTGGCAGTCGTGGGGAGCATCTGGTAGAGCAAGTCCTCGCCTCACTCATGGCCAGGATGCAGACAAAGAGCTGGAAGAGGCCAGGGCCCCACGTTCCCTTCCCCTCTGGCACAGCCCCATGATGGAAGGAAATCCCACCAGGCCCCTCCTTGCAAAGGTTCCGGTGCCCCCAACAGCTCTATCTTGGGCACCCTGCCTTCAACTCATGGGCCCTGGGGGGACACTCAGCATCTACTCTTAGTGCCTGGTGAGCATCATGGTTGCAGAGGTCTGCGTGCCAGCATGGGAAGAGGAGTGCAGGGAGCGAGACTGCAGTCGGGCTGCCTGGAAGCCCAGCCTGAGTTCTGCTGCGCACCTGTAACGGCAGGAACACTGTGGATGTGCTCTGGTTCCCAGTCAAGAGTGCGTTTAACAGCTGACTTACCTCTCAGGGTTGCCGAAAGGAGTTGAAAGCAAGTATGATAGGGAAGCACTCGGGGTGGTGCCCGGCCTGTCATGGCCCTCCCCAAATGTCGGTCATCACTGATAGCAATTTTCCTGAGTTCAGTTTGGGAATTCTTTAGAACAGACATGTTTGTTGTCTTGCATCATCGACAAGTAAACATTACAAACTTGGATTTATGTCAATCCAGATTTGCATTTTTGGATTACCTGTCTTTAAAATATGCAAATATACATTAAGATATTTGGTCTATTTTATATACCAAAGCAGCAGTAAACAGTAAATAAAACTTGTTACATTTTAATAAGAAAACTATTTTATATAATAAAACAATAAATATTTTATAGAACAAAATCTAGCATTTCTGTTAAGATGCTTTATAATAATAATAATAATAATAATACTGTATAATCCATTTTCATTTGAAGAAAAGCTCCAAGAGCAGTTTGAACATGCCAAACACCTGCAGAAGCCAGCTGCCTGGTGACTGAGGGTCAGGCCGGAACAGGGCGGCACTGACAGAGCTGGCTGGCCAGGCCGCCCCCAGAGCCAGCCTGAAGAAGCGGAAGCTCTGAAGCTGTCATGATTGCCTGGGGCTGTCTTAGTCACTTTCCTCATTGCTGGGACAAACTACCTAATACCTGAAAGTTAAAGAAGGAGAGATTTATCTTGGCTCCTGGTGGAGGTTACAGTCCATAGTCAGGTGGCTGCAAGGCAGGGCAGCCGGACTGAGGAGAGCTGCTCAAGGCAGGGAGGGCGAGCAGGAAGAGAGACACCCTTCCAGGCCACACCACTGTGGCCCTCCCTGTCCAACCTGACCGCACTGCCAACAGCGAGTCAGCTCTAAGCTCATAGGTGGGCGAATCCACTGATGATGTCACGCCCCCATGACCCAGTCACCTCCCCAGAGCGCGGCCTCCTAGGGTCTTCACCCAGCAGAGAATCTGGGCCTTCTCCACAGGAGTCCACTGGCCTTGTAGGTTAACCTAGTGTCAGTGCCACAGTGCTTCAGTTTGGAAAGTTATAGTTGGGAAGCTATCCCTCTTGCTTGAGAGGAGAATGATCAAAAGTCTGACCCAAGCAGTGGTGATGGGACCAGAGATGCAATGGACTTGGGATGGGTTTAGAAGGCAGCTTCAATAGGTGAGATTGGGGAAGGGAGGGATGAGAAGAGAGTCACATTTCTCCAGTGGGGCGCCTGGCTGTATATTTCCCTGTCCATTACCAGGACTAGGCAGGCGGGAAGAACAGAGAGTCCTGCAGGCGCAGTGTGAATCGCGTAGACAGGAGTATGAGCCTGAAACAATTCAAATAGTTTTTAAAGCAACCTCCAAAATAGTGGTGGCACCCATGCTGCAGCCGGTGTGCTACTGCTTTAGAAATTTTGCCATCACTGCAAAAAGCTGCCAGACAAATGAACTGAAGTGTGTATCTAGTGGATATCCCAACCACAAAGAACTTCTCTTTAAAACTGGCCTCGATGTGCCCATCGGCATGCCCATGACTGGCTGCTGACAGCACTGCCTGTGAAGGGGGAACTGAGCGGTGGACAGACGAGCCCTCCGTAAGAAACCTTGAGCTGGAGGTGACGTGTCCATCTCCTGCTCAGGTCCGGTTCCCCGGCACTTTTCTCCATCTGTGTCATAAGAATTTTATTACACGTCTCGTCTCCACAGCTACTAGTAAGTTAGATGCCCTTGGGACACCACTTCCAACTCCTTCCTGTTCCATAAGCCTCTCTGCAGTCCAGGTGTTCTGACATGGAACTGGACGGGGACGCCTGTGTGGTTCTCATCCAGTAATAAATTCAGAAACATCCTAACTCCTGTTTTATTTTGAGATCATTTTAGACTCATAGCAAGTTGTAAAAATAGTACAGAGATTTCCCAACACCTGCCACCTAGCTTTCCTTAATGGTAACATCTTTTATAGCCATAGTGCAAAATATCAAAACTAAGAAATCAGCATTGGTGATTGGTAACACTGTAGACTCTAAGACCTTATGGACTGTGGTCATAATTCAGATTTTACTGGTTTCCCCGCTAACATCCCTTTTCATTCTTGGCAGCCTATGCTGTGTTTGTCTTGTGCTTGTATTTCCTTAGTCTCTTGGGTTCCTCATTCTTTCCTTGGCTCTTATGACCTTGACATTTAAGAAAAATTTTATTAGTACATGCTTACAGTGCATAATGATGTATTTATTGTGTGGAGCTGGCACATGTACATAACACATATTAATCTTTTACTTCCCCTCCCCTCCTCCCTCCCCCATCTCTCAGTCCCTTTCTCATTTGCAAGAGATCTATCTCCTTGTTTTCTATTATCTTTTATTTTGTTCTTTAATTTATTTCTACTTTGGGTTTCTCTAAAAGAGAAACTGATATTTAAGCTTGTGTGTCTGATTTATTTCATTTAACATTGTGGTCTCAATATGAATCTGTTTTCCTAAAAATGAGCCAAATCACTGGCCAGGTATTTTGGAGAATGCCTACCATCTGAGGGCATCTGGTGCTTTCTCAGGTTTAGATTGAGGTTTCTCCTCCTGGGCAGCATATCAACAGAAGTGGTGCTGTATCTTTCCTAGTGTATCACACCAGGTTGGGTGGCGGCAGGGCTTTGTCCCTGCTGATGTTAGCCTGGATTACTTGGGGACAGAAGTTTGCCGTGTTTCCCTGATATAAGCCTACTGTCTCTTTGTAATTAATAAGTCTGTTGAGAGACCACTTTAAAGCTATGCAAATATCCTGTGTCTTTCACTGATTTTTGCATCTGCTGATACTGTCTGTGGCAACTGTTACTGTAATGTTCTAAAAATGATCTTGTATTTCCTTCATCCCTTCTCCATTTATTAATTAGAATTCTTCCATAAGGGAGAACTGTCCCTTCTCTCTCCTTATTTACTCAAATATTAATTTATATCAGGAAGGATGCTTTCATATTTCTTCTGTCACTGGGTTACAAGCCAGTATTACTGTTACTTATTTTGTTGCTCAGAGAATTCCAGTTTTGTCCGCTGGGTGTTCATTCAGGCGGGCTTTGTGTAAGTCCTGTTTTGAAATGTGGAAAGGGTGAGGTGCTGATGTCCTGCTTTTCATGTAGCAAGAGTGCACTGTGATGTGCTTATCATTTTAGGCGTCCAGCTGGGAGCTCAGGGTGGACATCTCCCGAAGCCCCGGATACTGACTTTGGAATTGGAAACCAGTGAGGTTAGCTGCTGACCCAACTCCAAGTTCAGCAGGTTGTGCTGCTTCTTCATATAGAAATTAGAAAAGATTATTTTACTTGTGTAAAAGGACAAGGAACGAATAAAAGGGAGGTGCTCTCTTCTCCCATATTTATTCAGAGTCCAACCAAATAATCAAGTTTTAGAGACTGTTTTTAGTGGCCTTGAGCTTAGTGTTCTCACAGATCTGATTCCATCTTTCTTTTCCTATTAGAGCTCTGAATTCTGTCTTACCCTAATCATCAGGGAGAATTCTCACAATCTAACACACCTCGGCAGGAGCGGCTTCCCAAAACCTGTCAAGTGCTGGGCTAGGATAGGTGAGTGAGTTGG